TTATTATTAAGTTATCAACTGATCATTTCCATAATAAAGTTGAAAATAGAAAATTGTACAATAGATTATAACGAATTTATTTAAATTGTTACTACAAGTCATTGTTAGATACAAATGCAAGTGCTCTTGAATTTTCAGTAATTTACATGATAATTGCTTTGCGTAATAGAAATGATAGCAAAATTCGCTAAAAGCACTTGAAAGCATTGACATTGTGAAAATTATGCAAAAACAAATGGAGATAAAATGAAGTAATTTAAAAAAAATTAGTTTTGGTATTGCTAATAACAAGTTAATTTTAAGTCGAAAGAAGTTGTAAAAATTTAAAAAAAAAATTTTAAATACAATAAAGACATTAAAAAATATTTTTCTGAATTTGCAAAATTCGCGATTGACACATGGGAAAGTGCAAAAACTGAAGCGAAAACAAATTAACACATTTTACCGGATTTAAGTGCGAAAGATTTAAAGATACAAAACCTAAACAAAATGTCGCCTTGCTTGTGCTCATAATAGTAAACAAATAATATTTAATAATTAATATTTACTAAAAAAAAGAAAAAATATTTCCGTAAAATTTATTGTGTGAAAATGAAACTGCGTCGTCTAAACAAAAGAGACGATCGCGGTGAGGTTGGCAAAACTCACACGCCAAACTGCAAAATATTGAAGCTCAAATTTCATCCGTAAAGTGCAATTTCGTTGATTTCAGATACTTCAAAGCAATCAAGCGCAATAAAATATGCATTAGAATGCAACCGAATGATAATAAATTTAAATGATTATATTTCTAATGTTTTCTCAACAATTTTATCTAATAAGTTTAATAAGATTTTTGCGCACGAGCATCGCCGCGAGTACAACCGCAGAAACCAAAGCTGCTGAAATGAATGCTGCAATTTTAATTGCAACTGCGTCAATTCTAAATTAATTTGAAAGAATTTTAATTTTTTCTGTTTGCTGTTTTCTGAAATTTATTGCAATGGCCGTTAATTAAACTCATTTGCATTCGCAACGCAGTTCTTAACACGTTTGGCAGAACTGTTAAAAAAACAGTAGCCCCTCTACTGGTTTTTGTAATTACTAGAAAAATATTTCATTAAGTACTGAAAACTGTTACTTGGACTACTCGTAAAATAAAAATATTTCAATATAATTAGAAAATTTTTTTCAATTTTTTACAAGTGCAAGATTTTAAATATTTGTGGTTCAAACTATATTTTTCAATCTATGTGATGAGAAACTATGATTGTTTAATTTAAAAATTTGATGAACTGTTACAGAACAACTGTTTTTATTAGTTATGCATTTAGAGACACAAAAAAACTTAAAATGCAGAAATACTGATTAGATTTAAAATGGAAATTAGTTTGAAAACTATATTAGTAACACTTAAATTGCTTAAAAACCTTAAAAAGACACTACAAATAAGGGATAAAATATTTAGAATACTTAAACTGTGTACACTATAAATAAGACCAAGAGTTATCTCCATGATCTCGTTCTCGTTATCTCGTTCCAAATCAAATAATTTTCATTTAAAGAAACTACAATTCCAACTTAATGTCGAAAAATTTGAGAACTAATACATCGTGAGTTAATATCAGCGCAAGTTCAACAAAAGCCTGTCACCAGAACACGTAAGTTTAAAATACCTTCGGTTACGAACTTATATATTGACACATGCAAGTATACCAACATAAGCTTCAACGAAAACCTGTCCCCAGAAGACGTGAGTTGTTTAAACTTTGGTCTATTAGGAACATAAACATTGACACAGACAAGTATACCAGCATAAGCTCAACGAAAACCTGTCACTAGGTGGCGTGAGTTTAAACTGTGGTCGGCTTAGAAATATTTGCATTAATAAAGGCAAGTATACCAGCGCAAGTTCAATGAAAGCCTGTTACCAGAACACGTGAGTTGTTTAAACTGGGTTCTTTAGGAACATAAACATTGATACATGCATGTACACCATCATAAGTTCAACGAAAGCCTGTCACTAAGAGACGTGAGTTTTAACTTCACACGATTAAGAAATATTTGCATCAACAAAGGCAAGGCAAATTTAAACTGGAGCCGATTATACTGTGGGACTAAGAATTTAAATAAAAAAAGAGACCTGAAAAAAAAGTATATACTGGTGCCACGACCTTGATCGAAGCTAATTAAATTTAACGATCCATAAAATTGCAAAATCATATGCATTGAGTACAACACAATACACCGTCAAATATGAAAGTTCACGGAAAAAGTGAAAACTAATTTTGAAAACACATAACATAGCAGGACAAAAAACTTTGCGCCAAAACAATCTGTATGGAGCTTTTGCATCCATCAAATGCCTTACTCTAAGTCAAATCTGCATCCGATTGCAAATAGATAGGACACACTTTCTTCTCTGAAAGTCTTCACAGGGTTCAATGGTAAACATAATGTACAACACTCATACCCGACAAATCTTGTGCCCCTAGTGCAAGTATCAGCACCAGCTCTTTCTTGGTCACAGAACTAAAAGGTTTACTGAAAGCATTAAAAAGTGGAACCCAAATATTATGTCAAGAAGTATGGTGTATGGAAATCAAATGTGAGCAGAAATTGAAATCAGTAGGACTTGAAAATTTCTTACTGTCATCATTACATCTACACTAAATTCATGAGTGTATCGTGAGAAAACCATTTTATGCCACAGCGCTCAAACATCTGATATAATAACACTCTAGTAATTATTGCTGAACTTTTGTTAGAATCGATATTGCCACTGTTATGCGTACTTTTCTTAATATTCAACGGTCAGGTATAAAAGAGATTCTTAAAAGCAATGACATATTCGAAAACCATTAAAATAAAAATCAAAGGTTGGTATACTAATTAAAAATTTTTGATTTCTAGCAATGCTCTTCAAAGTTTTGTACTTTTAACATTTTAATTTATAATTATTCTTACAATAAACAACAATGTAGCAATAATATACAGGAACGGTCATTCTTTTTAACTTAAATCAAACAAGTGATATATGTTTTATGACTCACATAACGGAAGTAGTTAGGTAAGCTCTTACAGCGATTTGAAAATGTTAAAGCGCTCGATCACAGAATTAACCTAATAAACCAAATTTTTGCGCATTACAAATAAAAACGCACCTAGTATTACCACTGGCAACTTATTATGGTAGTTATATTTGAGAATGTCGAAAAATTTTGCTACCCTGGTCATGTGTTAAGTAGTTATGGAAGTAATGTAAGCGATATTCCTGCACATATTATAGTCGTGACGTGCTTTCTACTCTGTGTAGAGATATAACCGATGGCAACCTATATGTATGATTAACACATGTGGTACTTTAGTACGAAAATTGGTACTTTCTTTTCCGTATGATTCTGTGGTACTCGTTTTTAGAAAATGGTACTTTTTTGAAACGCGAACTTTATTGTACATATTATTATATAATCTAATTAAATTTATTTATATATGCAACTGTGTACTATGAAACTAATTTAATTTTATGTATTCTGTCTCTCTCTCTATCTGTCTCTCTCTCTCTATCTGTCTCTCTCTATCTGTCTCTCTCTATCTGTCTCTCTCTCTATCTGTCTCTCTTTCTATATCTCTCTATCTCTCTCTGTCTCTCTCTCTATATCTCTCTATCTCTCTCTTCTCTCTTTCTCTTCTCTCTCTCTTCTCTCTCTTCTCTCACTCTTCTCTCTTTCTCTTTTCTCTTTCTCTTCTCTCTCTCTTCTCTCTCTCTCTCTTCTCTCTCTCTTTTCTCTCTCTCTTTTCTCTCTCTCTTTTCTCTCTCTTCTCTCTCTCTTCTCTCTCTCTTCTCTCTCTCTTCTCTCTCTCTTCTCTCTCTCTCTTCTCTCTCTCTCTTCTCTCTCTCTCTTCTCTCTCTCTCTCTTCTTCCTCTCTCCGTCTTCTCTCCTATCTCTTTTTCTCTCTCTCTCTCCTTCTGCTCTCTCTCTGCTTCTGCTCTGCCTCTCGACGTCTTTCTCTCTCTCCTCTTCTCTCTCGTCCTTGACGTCGCTCTCTCCTATGCTGTCTCTCTCATCTGCTTCCCTCTCAGGTCTCTCGTCGGCTCTTCTCTCTCTCTTCCCTCTCCACCGTCTCCTCTTCTCGGCCTCTTTCTCTCTCTGCTCGTTGCTCTCTCTCTTCGTCTCTCTCTCGTTTCTTCCCTCTGCTCTCTCGTCTCTTCTCCCGTCTCGTCTTTTCCCCGCTCTCTTCTCCCTCTCTCTCTCTCTTCTCCCTCTCTCTCTCTCTCTTCTCCCTCTCTCTCTCTCTTCTCCCTCTCTCTCTCTCTTCTCCCTCTCTTTCTCTTACCCTCGTCTCTCAGTGGAGCATAGGGCCTCAATTTTATGTATTTATCTCTATCTCTCTTATCCTCATCTCTCAGTGGAGCATAGGGCCTCAAGTTTATGTATTTATTTAGTAAAAATACTTAAACTTATACTGTTCTATATCTTCTATACATTTTATATATATTGTATTTTCTTATTAGAAGGCAATAGAAAAAAAAATTTTTTACAGGTACCTTTCTGAACCAATTTTGGTACCTTTCTGAATTTTCAAATGGCAACCGTAACTATAAGATTTAATTGAGAATGTTAGAGAGTTCTTCTGTCATGGTAACGT